ATACATACATACATACATACATACATACATATATATATATATATATATATATATATATATATATATATAGACACACACACACACATTGCCACACATATATTCTTTAATGATATATCATTATTTAATATTGCCACATATATATATATATATACATATATACATATATATATATATATATACATATATATATATATACACATAGGGTTTGGTTCCGGTGAGAAAGAGATCTAATGAAAGAAATAAGAATGAATATAAACAATCCGATCTAATCAGATCTTAATCTGATCGCCAGGGCATATGGGTCTTTTTACGGTCACAATGATAAACGCTAAACATCGTTAAACATCCTCATCCCTGATTTCTCGCTCACGATCCGATTCACTTTCCCCATTTCTCCATATCGGTTCCGCAGATATGAATTCCCTTATTTATCAACCTCTTAGTTTTACAAACCTCTCAATCATCCGATTTTGGGATTCCAGCTGCTTCATCGATTCTTTATCATGGTTCCAGGTGTGTTTTATTTTTTTTTTGGTTTTGTTATGTTTAGAATTATGCAAATGTCATCTGGAAATTTTGCACGCCTGCTCGAGTTCGTAGAATTGATGTAAACATTTGTGTTGACTTCACGAATGCCTCTGCATTCGCGGTCAAATTACATGTAAACATTTGTGTTGTTTTGAATTTTGCTGTTTGGTGTTCTCCTTTTCATTCATTCCCCGGCAATTCTCACAGCTTCATGAAAGTTTACTCCACAATTTTTTACACCATAATCTTTTTATTTTTATTCCTATTACGCATTTTATGCAATGAGTATTGCACCTTCATGTCTGCTTACTGCATTAAATATTATCCACTGATTTGGTCTCATGAATGCTTCTCTTATCATTCTCCAATTATTTGATATTATTTGTTTTTTTTGGAGCACTGTTCCGTGTACTGTATTGCATAGTCATGGTCTTCGTATGTTTGTGGTTTCTTTTCATTATGTTTTTGGTCAATTTGAAACACTTCATGAATTCATGCTCCATGATGTTGCAAACCCTTTGTGCTTATATATTTCATATATGTTTCTTTATTTCGCATTGTTTTGCATCCTGTATTGCATAATCAGATATATGTAGTGCATTAATCAACACGTTTATCTCTCTATCGGCAGTGCACACATCTACTTCTCCAAATGAAGACACACCCCATACAACAGAAATTATTTCTTCTTCATCCAACTTATTTATTCTTCCTTGCCCTGAAGAGTCCAAGCCTAAAATGGGAATGGTGTTCAAATCCTTGGAGGACGGATTAAATTTTTACAAGCAATATGCCTCAATGCACAAAAATTAAATTTTGTGCAACAAATTTCAGAAACGCAGCAAACACATCCGAAACCCTACCCGAAGACATGCAATAACTTTTTCAATTCAGAAAATTCCAATAGCTTCAATTTCTCAAAAAATTAAATATAAAACATTACCTGTTTCTTCAGTCGATGTCAATGGTGTGAGACTCTGATCGCCAACTTCTTTCTCTGTCGTAGCACCCCTCTCCGTCGCCATTGACACCAGAATTCGAATTGGATTGTAAAACTCGCAGAGCCCTCTTACAACTGGATTGTGAGGGTTGCCTCTGCGTTTCGTACTCTAAAGCAGCACCAAAATAGGAATACTCGGCGGGATTCCTTTTTTGGGGCGTCGACGTCTGCACTTTTCAATGCCAAAAATACCCCTTTATGCGGCTTCCCTTTTTTTAAGATACGTAATTTTAAACCTACCATGTGTAGCCCACCATTAATTAATAAATGATTAAATAATCACAGCCATCCATTCCTCCAAATCCAAGGGCTCTCCATCATTCTTATTTCTTTCACTAGGGGCCTTTCTCACATGATCTCACCCCTATACACACACACATATATATATATATACACATATATATAGATATATATATATATATATATATATATACACACACACACACACATACATACATACATACATACATACATACATACATATATATATATGACAAATTTACAAACTTTAATTTATCAATATGCATCATTAATTTTAAAAGTATGAACGAATACTACTCCGTATATTTTAATATAGTTAATAGTACTCAAAAAATAATTTTAGTGGTAATAATAATTCTTTTTTTCTATTCAAATGTTTATTCATGTATTTTCTAGGTCTTTTTTTCATGGCATTATAAAATGAATATATTTTCTAAATAATAATAATTAGTAATTAAAAAACTATTTCTTTTATATTGATTTTTTTATCGGTGGAACAATATTTTTTTTTAAACACATAAATTTCTCACAATTTAGATACTCCATATATATTTATAAATTTATTGAAAGTATAAATTTTCAATATTCTAAACACCATATTTATTGCATTTATTTGTTTATTTCTTTAATTTGACACCATACTTTTTTGCAAAAATAAAAACCCCTGGCAAAATACAACAACAACAACCAGTTGAATCCCACTACAGTAGGGTCTGGGGAGGGTGTGTGTACGCAGACCTTGCCCCTACTCGGAAGTAGGGAGGCTGTTTCCAAGAGATCCTCGGCTCAACCTGCACAAAAAATATGGTAGAGAACACAGTATAACACGGATAAAGCACCAAGTACAATGAAATGAAAGTCCGGCAAGGAATAATATTTGAAGCATAATAAAAATACAAATGAAATAAAAAAGAGTTTTCTATATAATTATTTTTCTAAAAGAAACTTATTTAGTAATTTAAAAAAATAAATTTTTTTTTGTTTTCATGATAAATGTGACTGTTGAACATTTAAAAACTTATATATATTACTGTATACATTTATTGAATTGTAACTTTTTATTTAGTAATTTATAATATCAATAAGCTTAGTATTTGTGACATTTAATTGGTTAACCACACAATGTAATATCTAGAATATTGCAAAACTATAAACTACTAAATATTGAAAAAATTTACATATTTTTTATGTCTTGTGAATAAAGGCATAAATTTTAATTTGATAAAAACAAATATATAGAATAACAATAGATATTTTTTGAAGAAGAATTAGATTTAATAATGATGCACATGTGTTAAACATTATATAAATTTTATTTATGGAAAGTAAAAGAGAAGGATAAAACAGTGAGTACTCATAAACATTAATAATATAAATTAAAGCTTTGTTTCTTACAAATAATAACGTATAAACCATATAATAATAAACAATTTTTAAATGATAATAAATATTTAATTGTGGAAACATATTGGTACAAAAGTTAGAAAATGGAGAGTTGTTAAAAAATCCTTTAATGTAATAAAGGAGACTCGGATGCACAGAAATTCGACATTTGGCATGTCTATGTGGCAAAATTTAAACATGTCAGCATGCCACATAATATCCGAGTAAACTAGCGGAAATAAATTATATACAATGCACCAGAGGATCTCCCGTTGAAAACAGTTGACCGCAGATTTTCTACGCGATAATCACTAGCCTTCAACAAAATTCTTTTCTTCAGATTACAACAATACAAACTCCTATTATGACGATAATATAAAATAATTAAAAATAAATATGAAAGAATATAAATAATATTTAAAAAATAAATATAATATTTTTCATTTAATTTAAATAGAATTTTAGGACCGTGCTACATATATTAATCCTTTACCAAGGAATTCTCACCATAATAAAGTCCTTCCTAAAATACACAAGGTAAGTAAATAATTAAATGCGAAACTATCCTAATAGGGCCGTGCGTTAGAAAATGATTCATGCATAGACATGAATGGTATGATATGATTTCTAAGAATAGATTATTTCCTTACCATATGGTGATTGACAAAATTTACGAAAAATATTATTAAGAAACAATCCTAAATAGTACTAAATTTGAAAATTATGATCATGAGTATATTATTCATCACCTTACTTATATTATGTATGTTGGATAATACTAATATTATTTTGGATCCATTTACTTATATATAACAATCGTTAATTCGTTTAAATAATCGTTAATTATTTATATTTAATCAAATATTTCTTACCAAACTTCTAATTTGATATTTTCCATATGAAAAATTATGTGACATATTAGGTGTTAGAAATGGCTACATAAAAATAATTTTCTTTTCTTTTTATTCAGTTCATAAATTGGGTTGCATAAAAAATCCACATAAGTAATGACACATGTCAGCTCTTAGGAATGCCATATGTCAGCTCCTAGTAATGCCACATGTCATCTCCTTAGAGCTCCGAGTCTCATTTATATATATAAAGGATAAAGGATATATGATTTATAAATTTCATAATTGGTCCTTTAGAATAAAGGATATATGATTTATAAATTTCATAATTGGTCCTTTAGAATATAATATGGAGTTTTCCTATTTAGTCTTTTATTATCAAATATTATCTTGGTGGTCCTTCTTTTATGGGTACCTTTCCCCCAAATAGTCATTTTTTGATATTCTATCATGTCGATGTTAATTTGAGGGCTAAAAGTATAATTTCACAATGATAATATATCTTTTTTGTCGTACACAATTTCAAAGGCCGCATCTGATGCGTCGTTTGTGAATTACAGTTCCTTTCTACTACAACCACAGTCTACATATGTGGTATTTCGTCAAAATCCTAGCTCACAATAATCATAGTCATAATTTTTGTGTTATTTGTCGAACTAATATCAGAATATGTCACTGGACATAAAGTTGGTGTCAAATTATACTTTTAGCATTTAGATTAACACAAACATGAAAGAAAACTAATAAAAGACCATTTGTAAAAAGGCACCAAAAAAGGAAGGACTACGAGAGTAATATTTGATAACAGAAGACTAAATATGGAAACTCCTCTGTTATAAAGGACCAATTATGGAAATTACTCAAAAAAGTATGAAAATATCAAAATAAGAGTTATGTCTTTTAAGACCAAAATAAGAGTATAATAATATTGTGGTGTAAAAGTATGCGTTGACAATGTGATGAAAAAGTGATGAAGGTGTAATGTATCGGTGTGATCAATCAACCATCCGTGATCCGCGAGGCACTTTGATGGTCGGCGAAGACGGATGATAGTGTAGTGATAATAGTATAATGGTTACAATATAACAATATGGTAAGCATGACAATGTAACAATAGCAGTGTAAACTCTTATTTTAGTCTTAAAAGTACTATGATTCTTGATGGTGTAAATTACCACCCGAGCAAACTACTCTAGACCGGGTCTAGAATGGTTTGATGAGTTTAGAAACTAAAGTGGCAGAGAAAACAAAAGTTGACCGGGAGGACTATAGGTGGAAACACATGTAGTCCAATTGTTATTAAGTATGTAGAATAGTACAGGGTAGTATTACAGAATATGCTCTAGAGAGATAAAGTTCGAATCCTTTCTATTGAGGGTTACAAGGTTATTTGTAGTAGATCCTAGGGGACAAAACAAAGAACGCTCACGTCGTTCCACGTTCCTGGACGGTGCGAGGTGACTTATATATATATATATATATATATATATATATATATATATATATATATATATATATATATATATATATATATATATATATATATATATATATATATATATATATATATATATATATATATATATATATGATGGAGAATAAATCCACCGAATGATCCGATTCACAAAGCGGATCGTAAGAACAAAATTAAGAACGAGAATTCGAGAATTGGGTATGTATCATTAGCTTGATTTAGCTTGAGTTTTCCCCTTTCGGGTCTCATCTATTTATACATGAGCTATATGCAATTAAGGTAACGCATAATCGATGGAGTCTATCCCGTTAAGGGCGCGATCCCCTTTTTCCGGCTATGTAACGGCCAATCTGTTCCGTCTCCTTCTCCGGACTGGCTCTGCCAGCTACTTTTGGTCTAAAGTCAACTGGGCCTGGCTCCATGGGCCGGCCCAGACCTGAGTATTTTCCGAGTGTCTGACTCGAAGTTGTGTAAATGATTCACTTGCGCTGCCTACTGGGTATCGGCCCATCATAAGCCCCCCAACTCCTCATTCTTCGACTGGGCCAAGTGGAAGAATGGGGAGTTTGCAAAGTCCACGTGGGCGCTCCAGCGGGGATCCGGGCCGTTCCTTGGGTTCCGCGTGACGTCTGGGCACGATCTCCACAAGTAGGTAATCATGGCCCGCCGATTCGCTTTCCTGCTGTCAGTTAAAAACCGCCGCTGGACACCATCTTTTCCCTTCGCCTTCTTCACCATTATCCGCCTGCAATTCCGCTGCTTCCCGACCCGTTCTTCTTTCTTTCCAGGTCAGTTCCTTTTCTCGTTGCCATGATTGTTTCAGATTCCGATTCGGCTACCCCATCGTCCAATTCTCGCCAAGCCGATCAATCGGCCTCTGGCCGTAACCCCGGCCGCACTCCATCACCCCAGCCGTCACCGTCGGCCGTGCCCGGCCACAAACGGCGCCGATTGAGGAAGCAATTCCCTTCCTTAACTCCGGTAGATGAGGGCTCGAGGGTTGGATTGGACGAAAACATCATAGCGTTGTGCCATTGTCAAATCACTGACCGGGGGTTCGCCGATGCTACTGACATGGTTGGTCCCTCCATTGAGGTCATGAGACCTACCAGTACTCAAACTGCTCTAGACGCACCCTCGGGGTTCTTCACGGTCCATCTGGCGTCTTTGAAGAAGGGGCTGCGCTTCCCACTCCACCCGTTGTTGGTCGAATTCCTCAACGTGGTGGACCTTCTTCCGTGCCAACTGGTCCCCAATTCTCACTGGTACATCGCCGGTTATCTGGTCCGATGCAAAGATGTAGGGGTGAAGCCGACCCTGGACCATTTCATATTCACCTTCAAACTGACCAAGGGCCATAAGGATTGGGCGTCCTATGCCACCCTTTCTCAGAGATCCAGTAAACTCTTTGCGAGTGATAAGAAGGGGTCAACCAAAGACTGGAAGCCTTACTTTGTCTTCGTTTCGACGGGGCCCGAATCTCCTTTCACGGGTTCAGGGCGCCCTTCCTTTCGCCGCATCCCATGCCCCCCACCTGATGCCACCCTCCTGTCCATCACCCGCCAACTCTGCAATAAGGGAGTTATGAACATCAAGGAGGTGGTGACGGAGGAAACCCTTGCCGGGTTGGGGTTTGAGTTTGTTCAGGATGAGCTTCGCCACCAACCCGACCTACTGAGGGACACCCCCGGGGGGCATCAGCCTGACTAGCTGAAGGACATTCCTGAGGAAGGTCTTGACTGTGGTCCTTTTGGTAATTGACCTTTTCTTTTTGCCCATATGTTTAGTTTATCCTTTTCCAAGACTGACCATTTCCTTTGTTTCCAGTGGAACTACAAGATTCAGGTGAAGAGATGGACAGCGAACTCCTGCTCAGTCGCTTCACTGGAGGGAGGAAGAGGAAGAGAGAGAGACGAAGGGCCAGGGCAGACGCTCTTCGTCCCACCACGAGGGGAGTCCCTCCCGAGAGCCGGCTGTAATTGTGGTGGAGGACCACGAGGATGCTACTCTGGAGACCGGCACCATGGCTGGCCATTCCCCCCCTCGCTCTATGAGGCCGGGTGGCAACCTCGCTGGGTCGTCACGAGGCATTGCCTCGGAGCGACCTCCCGCAGTGACCTATGAGGTGGCGACTGGTGGTCGCTCGACGAGACTTTGCATTCCTCCTCTGCCCCAAAGCTTAGGGGACGTGCAACTGGAGACCCTGATCACCTTGCCCGCGGAGGACCAAGCCCGCATCTCGGCCGGTTCTGAGGACGACCTCGATAACATGGTCCTCTTGAGGCTAAGCCAGGTACTTGCGCTGATTCTTCCTGCACTCGTCCTTTTTTTTTCTTACGCTCTTGACCCCCATGCCTTAGTGCAGGCCACGCTGGGGATGATCGAGGTGGTTGGTAGGAGACGGGGTCGCCAGGCCGCCGCAGACGAGGCGATGAAAACAGCCGAGGCCAAGCAGAAGGAGCTGCAGGAAGAGGTCGCTCGACTCACAAGGGAGTTGGAGGAGAAAGAGAATCGCTGCGCGGCGCTTGCTGTGGAGAAAACTTCCCAAGAGAACCGCTGTGCCGCCCTTGAAGCAGACAAGGCCTCCTTGTCCTTGGAGATGGAATCTGTTTCTGCCCGCGTGCTCGAGCTGGAGGGGGAGAAAACTGATCTGATCCAGCAGTTGGAAGTGGAGAGAAGCGACCGGGTCCGTCATGCAGAGGAAGCGGTAGAATCCTTCAAGTCATCTCCCGACTTCACGGTGGTCGCGATGGAGCAGATGGAAGAGCTAACGGCTGCTTGGCTCAAAACTGAACCTGGGGCTCAATGGATGGTCAAGGGGGGCACCAAGTCCTTCAATTGTGGACTCTTCCGCGCCCAGCACGTCTTCCGTGACACACTGGCTCAGCTCCCCAAAGGATTCTCTCTTCCCGACCTTGGCTTCCCTCCTCCCTGCCGTTCCTTGGCCGAGTTCGACCCCAGTCCTTATCTGGACGGGGGGAGCTCGAGTGCGTCGGAAGAAGAGGAAGAAGAAGAAGTGGAAGGCGGTCAGGGCGACCAGGATCAGAGGACCAGTTTAGCCACGTCCAAGGCGGGTGGAAATCCTAGCTCGAGCGCCTAACCTCCCCCGTTGTTCCCCCCCAGAGTTTTGTAAACACTTGTTGTTGTTTTTTTTGAAATGACTCATCATTTTGATGCAATGTTCACATGTTATTTGACTTGTCGGATTTACCATGTGCTTTCCTTTTCCAGCGTCTTACTTCGGCACTTTATTCTTTGGTGTAGCTGATTTACACATATGTTTTTAGTTTGGGCCCCAACTCCTAGTCCCGGCCCGTCTACCTGCCCAGGCCCAATCTTTGGATTGGCCAGCGTGCCGCCCAACTGACCCAATGCCCTTCACAGTCTCTGATTGGACCTTCGCGCGGCTCAAAGCCGCTTTATCGGTTCAGCTGCCATGAGACTTGACCGTCTCTTCGGTTCCTTCACCGGGCTTATTTATAAGCCCCCCTAACCTTCATTTTGCTCCATCACTGAATATTTTCCCTTTCTTCATCACTGCCATGTCTGAAGGAATTCCTGTATCTTTGAATCTTTCTGATGGGCTGGCTCCTTCTTCGCCGGAGCCTGCCTCCTCCCCCAAATCAGTCAATTCTAATGACTGGGGAGGACTGGACCCTTACGAATTCTGCCGCCGATTGCCTCGCCGGCAGTGGCCATCGGTGAAACCGCCGCCACTACCACCAAACCCTTATGATGACTTCAGTGAAGCATACAAGGCCCTCTCCGCCAACCGCCTGCCTGACGGAAGGATTGACTGGGACGCTCCATGCCCCCTCCATTCCCTGCAATGCATGGCCTGGGAGAGCTTTCAGGATGAGCACTTACCCCTCCTAGAGCATGAGTGCGCATACTACACAAGTCTTGAGCGATGGACTGGCGAAAGTCGCACCGGTTCGCCGGTGAGGCCTAAGGAGGAGGCTGTGTTGGGGGAAGAACTGGGTTCCAGTCCACCTCGCCCCACCGACCGTGCAACTCCCCGGAGAACCCGTAGGCGACCTGGAGTAGCTCGATCAGCTTCAGGATCTCCATCCTCATCCAGGTGATGCTGGTTGGGGTTCTGGAAGAAGTGAGCCGCCCTCCGTCCTTCCTTGGTATTCGAAGGACGGTGGGTTTTTGCCGAGGCTGGGGGCGACCGATCCTGTTCCGCGTCGGGGAAGAAAGGTGGTCGTCCTGGACGGCCGGTAATCGGAGTTCCGCTTGCTTATACAGCTGCAGAACTACCCTTCAAACCTGCCTGTCCCCCCTAGGCCTTTTGCTCGCACAGTTTTAGATTGTTCTTTTTTACTGTAGGAAGAGTATGGAAAAGTATCCCTCCTTTTGAAGATATAGAGACTGTTTTCAATTGTATTGTAGTGGATGCAAGAGATTACCCCTGAAATGTAATGAACATTTCCATGAATGTATTTTGATGTCACCTGTTTACTTACAAGTCCCATCTTCTTCTCTTCTGCATCTCAATTTAAGCGTTCAGGTTCCCTCAGACCCTGATCAGAGAATACCTCGCCTATTTTGACTTAGCCACTACCGGGTTACTTTACCCTCATGGCGTCGCCATTGACCCCTGTTCGCTCCTGCGACCAGCAGATCTTTTGTTCCAAACTTAGCCGTTTTCTCAGGCTTTCTCGCCACGGCGTCGTCCTCTGATTAGTCGCGTCGCCTGACAACCCTCCACCTCGGTCGCTTGTCAGGGTTCGGCGCTTCACCCAACACTGGGTATCTTAGCACAAATCACCATGACGTTTAGGCTTAGCGATCCCTTGTGGTCGCTCCCCTTTTTTTTTCGAGAATTGAAGACAAGATGTGCCGGAAAACTGGTTTTATTAAACTTCACGAAAGAGACATGGCTGGAATACAATCTATTGATAAAATTTGATAAGGTTGGCGGCATTCCATACTCGCGGAACGTCGCCACCGGCTGGAGTCTGCAATCTAAATGTCCCATCAGCCAACACCTCCTTTATGATATATGGCCCTTCGAAGCTTTTAGCAAACTTCCCTCCATCGGTCGGCCGACTAACTTCCCTTTTCTGAAGGACCCAGTCGCCCACCTTGAACTGCCTTGGTCGCACCCGCTGGTCGTGATATGACTTGACCTGCCGACGGTAGTTTTCTGCCTGCATATATGCCCTTTCCCTTCGCTCATCAATGAGGTGCAGCTCTGCCCTCAAGTTCTCTTCATTTTCTTGAGCATCAAACGTCTCTACTCTATAACTTAACAACGAGGTCTCCGCTGGAGCCCTTGCTTCAAATCCATATGTGAGCGAGAAAGGGGTTTCACCCGTGGCCTTCCTTGGGGTGGTTCTGTAGGTCCACAAAATATAGGGCAACTCCTCCACCCAAGCACTTTTGCATTCCATTATCTTCTTCCTGAGGCCGTCTATGATGGTGCGATTGGTGTTCTCGACCTGCCCATTGGTTTGGGGGTACCCGACCGCTGCATAGCTGTGTTTTATGCTCCAGCTCTGTAGAAACTCATTGAACCCTCTGGCCTCGAATTGGGTTCCGTTGTCAGTGATGATCTGCTGAGGCACCCCAAATCGGCACAAGATTTGCTTGGAAACGAACTTCGTCATCTGCTCCGCAGTGATGGTTGGCACGGGGGCGGCCTCGACCCACTTGGTGAAGTAGTCGATCGCGACCACCAGGTATGTGTTGTTCCCTGGCCCCCGAGGCAAAATACCGACCAGATCGATGCCCCACCGAGCAAAGGGAATTGTCGTACTGATCGGGGTATAATTTGTCGCCGGTCGCCCCAGCACCCTCTGGAATTCCTGGCAAACCTTGCATTTGCGCACGTACTCTGCGCAATCTCTGATAATTGTTGGCCAAAAGTATCCTTGTAGGGTTACCTTCCTGGACATCGTGAAGGCTCCCTGATGCGCTGAGCATATTCCCTCATGGATTTCCTCCATTAACTTCTGTGCCTCGCCCGCTCTTAAGCACCTCAACAATGTACCATTATACGATCGCTTGTACAGACGACCGCACTCCAGCGTGTAGCTGGGTGCACGTCGCTTCACCACCTTTGCCGCGATTAAGTCGGCAGGTAGCGACCCGTCAAGGATGTACGTGGTAATCTCATCAATCCAATCCGGCTCTTCTTTGAGTGTGATGATCAGCACTTGTCCGGGACTGATGCTTGGCTCGAGCAACTCTTCTTCTTGGGTCATTGCCTTAATATGATCCGGGGAATCCGGACCAAGCTTCGACAAGATATCTGCCTCAGCGTTCTCTTCCCGAGGGACCTGCTCTATCCGGTACGCCCCAAATGCTTTAAGCAACTCCAGGGCAGTGTCTCTATATTTCTTCATTCGTTCATCCTTGGCCTCAAACTCTCCAGTGACGTGGCCTACCACTAGCTTGGAATCACACCGGACTTGGATCCGCTCAGCTTTTAATGAGGCTGCCAACCTCAAGCCGCAAAGTAGTGCCTCGTATTCAGCCTCATTGTTCGAGACTTTAAACCGGAACCTCACAGAGTAGTACGCTTTGAACCCTTCTGGTGATATCGCCACAACTCCTCCCCCCGAAGCATCAGTCGCGGACGATCCATCGGTGTACACAGTCCACCAACTGCCTTCGGGTTCCTCTCCGCTAGGTCCTACTTCTCTTGCAGTGCATTCCACCACGAAATCTGCTAACGCTTGCCCTTTTATCGCCGGTCGCGGCTTAAATTCTATCTGAAAGGATCCCAGGAACACCCCCCACTTGCTGACCCGCGGCGGGGCATTCAGGCTTCGAAGAAGTGTTCCGATGGGAATTTGTGATAACACATGAACCGGATGGGCTTGAAAGTATGGGGTGAGCTTCTTCACCGTACATACCACTGCAAAGATGGTTTTCTCCATGCTTGTATATCTCAACTCCGCCCCTCGCAGCACCCGGGCCACGTAATACACAGGTCGCTGTGCGCCCTCCTCCTCCCTCACAAGCACCGAGCTCACAGCTCGAGGAGAGATTCCTAAGTATAGGAATAAGGTTTCTCCGGGCTCCGGCTTCGAAAGCACCAATGGGGAGAGGAGGTATGCTTTTAACCCTTCGAAGGAACGTTGACATTCTTCGGTCCAGACGAACCCTCTACTCTTCTTAATGGTCTGAAAGAAATGAGCCGCTCGATCAGCTATCTTTGACAAGAAGCGACTGAGAGCGGCAATCCTGCCGGTGAGCTGCTGGACTTCCTTCACATTTCGCGGGGGCTCCATCTCCAAAATCGCCTTTACCTTCTCCGGGTTAGGCTCGATCCCTCTCCGGCTGACCATATGTCCCAGGAATTTACCCCCCTGAACCCCAAATGTGCACTTCTTGGGGTTAAGACGAAGCTGGAACTTTTTCATGATCTTGAATACTCTCTCCAGGTCGCCGGTGTGGGACTCAACCCGTTTGGATTTGACGATCATGTCGTCCACATATGCTTCCATGCATCCCCCTAGCACTGGCGCAAACAACTTGTTCACCATCCGTGCATAGGTCGCCCCAGCATTTTTCAAGCCAAAAGGCATCACCTTGTAGCAATATACCCCATTGGGGGTGATGAAAGCGGTCTTCTCTTCATCCGCCACAGCCATCTTGATTTGGTGGTATCCACTAAATGCATCCATGAAACTCATCAGCTCACACCCTGCCGTCTCATCAACTAACTGATCAATGTTGGGGAGAGGAAAAGGATCCATTGGGCAGGCTTTATTTAGATAAGTGTAATCGACGCACATCCGCCAGGTGTTCCCTTTGGGTGCGAGGACTACATTTGCAAGCCATTCCGGGTAACAGACTTCCCGGATGTGCCCAATGGATTGCAGGGTGGTCACCTGCTTGGTGACAAACTCTCTCCGTTCTGAGGAAAGGAAACGCTTCTTCTGTTTGACCGGCTTGTGGGTCGGGTCCACTGCCAATCTATGGCAGATGATCTTTGGATCGACCCCTGGCATATCCTCTGGCCCCCAAGCGAATAGCACCTTGAATGCTCGGAGGACCTCCAATAACTGCTCCTTTAATCCAAGCGGTAAGGTTTTACCTACCTTCACCTTCCGCTCTGGCTCGACCGGGTCCAGAGAAACTTCTTCAACCTCTTCCGCCGGCTCAGCTCGCGGGCGCCCCTCCTCCTTCTGGATTGCAGCGCAGATCGTACTCACATTCTCGTCGACCCGAGCTTGGCTCTTGGTCGCCCTGACATAGCACGACCGTGACAGGCTTTGGTTTCCCTTGGCCACCCCCACTCCCGTGGGAGTGTTGAACTTTAGGCATAGGTGAGCGGGGGAGATTACGCACTCCAGATCCTCCAACCCTGGTCGTTCCAGAATCAAATGGTGTGCACAGTCGAGCTGCACTACCATAAATTCCATGTCGATCCAGAGCCGGTGGGTGCCATCTCCTACCCCGGCCTTCACCGTGATAGTTCCTTCAGCCTCAATAGTATCCCCTGTGAACCCTGATAGCGGTGTATGGATTGGTTTCAGGTCGCTTCGGGACAACCCCAACTCCTTAAAGGTGTTGCTGTACATAACATTGACCGAGCTACCCGTATCGACCAAAGTTCGGTGAACAACCACATTATTGATTTCCACCTTTATCACCAGAGCATCCCTATGAGGGCTGAGGACTGGGGGATAATCCTCGTCCGTGAAAATCAGAGGTTCCTTCTTCTTCCGCTTAGGCAGCGGCGACCTTTGTACCTCAGCCAGGTACACCATGTTCTTCCACTTCTTCCGGGAGGATACCGAATCTCCTCCCGTGTTTCCTCCCATAATGAACTGACACCCCAGGTGTCGGCGACCTTGCCTTTCATCTTCATCTAAATCGTCACAATCTCGTCCTAGGTGCCGCCGTCCATCTTCTCGCCCCTCTCCTGCTGTGATCGCTGCTGTAGGGGCTGGCGGCCTCCTCCAGGTCCGGTTACCTGAGGAGGGTCGTTCCGTCCGAGGAGGTGGCCCTCTAGCGATCAGCTGATCCATCTCCTTTTTCAACGTGACGCACTCCGACGTATTGTGGGTGCTGTTACGGTGGTACTCACAGTATTTGGGTGCATCCTGCACACCATAGCTTTCCCGACTGTGAGGAGGAGCAGGCAACGACTGTACCGTATGAACAGGATGCCTGTTCACATGATACCCGGTGGGGTTTGGCCCCTTACCATAGTCCTTTCTCTTCTTCCCATCTGCCACCGGTGGCCCGCTTTTCTTCTCCTTCCGGACTGGTGGCTCATCATCTTCTTCTTCCAATGCCAAGTACTTCGCCCGGGCCAACATCTCTTGATAGGTTGAGAGAGGATTCCGCCGCAACTCTTTGCGCACATCCCCTTGGGGGAGTGCAGCTTGGAGCATGGCGATCAGGGCCTGGTTGTCCGCCCCTTGGACGTCCCTGGCCTCCTTCTCCCACCTATTAATGAATTCCCGGAGCTGTTCCCCCTTCCGAATCTTCACATTGAGCAGATGCGAGAAGGGGAGCTTCTGTCTCCGGCTAGATGCGAAGTGCTCCAAGAACTTGTGGGCCAGGTCGCTCCATTTATCTATCGACCCCTTGGGTAACTTGTGGAACCATTCACAAGCCTGCCCTTCCAGTTTCGCCAGGAAACATCGACACTTGATTTCTTCTGGGTACGCATACATGACCACGTTGGCCCCGAAGCGGGCGAGGTGGTCTTGGGGATCGGTCGTCCCGTTGTACGCCTTGATCTGGGGAGTCTTGAAATTATCCGGGAGAGGGCAGGACATTATCCTTCTAGAGAAGGGCGTTACCTCACTGAAGACCGCCTGGCGATAGGGGTTTTGGGCGTCCAGCCGCTTCTCCAGTTGCTCGTACATTTTCCACAGCTCAGCTGCGCCCTTATCCCCGACGGTCGTCCGTCGCTCCTCAGAACCGACCTTGGAGGTCGCTGTGGACTCCCCTCTCTTTTCCTTGAGCGTGTCTCTCAGGTCGCCTTTTCGGGCCGACCGAGTGTCCTGCAGCCGTTCGAACGCAGAGGTTCGAGGCTTCTTTGACTTGGGGTTTCCCAAACGGTCAAAAGCAGACATCCGCTCGAAGGAGGACGAGTCGTCTTCTTCTTCCAGTCTGGAAAGCGCATCAGCCATCACCGCCTTCCCATTAGGCTTGGTCGCCTTCTTCTTCTGGGACCGCCTTACTTTTTTCTTTTTTCCTTGGGAGCCTGTAGGTCCAGCCTTCCCGCTTGTGGGTCCCCCGGCCACATCTTCTACCACAACCTCGCGGTTGGGCGCAAGTGCAGCCATCACCTCTTTGAATTGTTCGGCCGTGATTCCAACCCTCTGAATGAGGGCCTCAGCCTCCCCGGTGGTGATGGGAGGGTTCCGACCTCCAGTGGTGCTGTTCTCCCCCTGTTGGGGAACTCCGGTACCTACATTAGCGTTACTGCGCGTTTGCACCATCGTTTCTATGGAGGATTTCCTCTGAGTATGATTCTCGAACTCTCAACGAGAGCACCAATTTGATGGACAATAAATCCACCGAATGATCCGATTCACAAAGCGGATCGTAAGAACAAAATTAAGAACGAGAATTCGAGAATTGGGTATGTATCATTAGCTTGATTTAGCTTGAGTTTTCCCCTTTCGGGTCTCATCTATTTATACATGAGCTATATGCAATTAAGGTAACGCATAGTCGATGGAGTCTATCCCGTTAAGGGCGCGATCCCCTTTTTCCGGCTCTGTAACGGCCAATCTGTTCCGTCTCCTTCTCCGGACTGGCTCTGCCAGCTACTTTTGGTCTAAAGTCAACCGGGCCTAGCTCCATGGGCCGGCCCAGACCTGAGTATTTTCCGAGTGTCTAACTCGAAGTTGTGTAAATGATTCACTTGGGCTGCCTACTGGGTATCGGCCCATCAATATATATCACGTAGCGTTTGTCCCACTCATTTGTCGGCTTGTGTTGATGGCACCTCTCTTGGCGCGTAGTGCTTGGACGAGAATATCTGAATATTCACCGTGATCTTCTGTCGCTACCGTCCAACCATGCTTGGATTATTCTTGCCGACACAGGTACACCCAAACTAGCCACCCAGTTCAAGTCCCGAAAACTTGCCTAGATTGTTTCTTGAAGGAATGTTTGATTACTCGAGGATCCCCATGTAGTGCCATGCTAGGTGATCGGGTGCCCAATAGTCACCCGGGTGGTCTTGGTTGAAACCCACCCGGGTAAGGTATCCACCCAAACAACCCAGTTGCATGGTACCTAGATCTTTTCTAGGGTGGTTTTGGATGGGCCCGACCCGGGTCATGGCCTGGGTGGATTTCACCCATCAATTTTTATGTTGATAATTTCATAGTTTTTTACTTTTATCTAGAAAGTTCTCTCAACAAACAATGATTATGTTTGTATCACTTATTATTATTATTATTATTATTATTATTATTATTATTATTATTATTATTTGTATATGTGTCTAAAATGTTTGGTTTTATTTGTATATGTATCTAAAGTGTTGACATTCTATTATGTTGTTGTTAAATTGAAGGCTAAAAGTGTAATTGAGTCGTAGCAATGATGATGTAGAGATCCAATGATAGAGTGTTCTGACAGCTGGGGAGCAGTAAAAAATGAAGTAATTGTCAAAGACAACAGCGAAACGCAAAGTAGCAATGGTGTGCTGATATGGTGGCTCATCCAATATCTTGTGGAATGCTCATTCAGGTTCGATTTCAAGCAAAGGTGTTGATTCATTTTGTACTCTTTTGGTTGAGAGAAGAGTCTGAGCTAAAATTTTAATGTGCATTATTGTGTCCTTTCTCCTCTTCTTCACAACCATTGCCACTCTTATCCCCCATTGTTGCCCTCCTCAGCCACCACCACTTTCCACCCCTCATTGTGTTCTGCCGCCACTTCACGTTGTTCATTCTCCTTATCGCCCAATATGTGTTGGTCTTTGGCCATTAACAAAATTATTGAATATAATCCTTCTAGAATCATATTATATTTGTACTGATATATAGATATAAACTTTTAAATGATAAAAATAACAAGTTGATAGCTGGATGAACCTAAGCCCACCAAGTTGAGTCATCAATCCATTTTCCTAAACACTGCAATTCTATGAATGAGTTACTAGATATTAAAGAGGACCCCTCGCCCGGCGGTCACGATAAATTGAGCGTTAATCACCTAGAACTTGCAGATATTTTATGCTTAGGATCTCAATGCAATTGTCAAAGATTGAACTCGTGTATTACCCCAAAGCATTGTTGGCTCAACCAGCTACGTTTATAGATATAAGAATCTTTTTATGGTGTTCGATGAAGCACAAAAGAAATTAATTTAATAACTCAAAATATCCAAAATATTTCAAATGGTGAAGTTTCGATATCTCCTAAATTGGAGATATCAATCTAGAAGGTTTGATATCACCTCAACTGCCAACCCTCCCTACCCACCAACTTCCATCATCATTCACTCGCCATCGATCACCCCATCGTTTTCACCGTCTACCACTTAAGAATCATTATCTCTTCAAATACTCTTATTTAAGATTTCAAAACCTATATATTTTTCAGTTTTTAAATATTTTATCATATCAACCTCCAAAATGCAAGTGTGCCCTAAATATATCTATTTTCTGACGAGTACTCCACAATCTATCCTTTATAATTGAATTTAGAATCATGTTATTGTAATTCTAAAGTCCACGTGTAAAATGTGAACATTCTCATTTATTTTTCATGAGCTCATAGGTAATTTTTTTCTTTTTACAAGATCCGACACATACAATCATTTTATATATTAAGATTTACTTCGTATAAAATAAGAATGCATTTAAGGACTACAATGTCTTGCATTTACTAAGGGTCTTTTTGGTGACGAAAACAAATATGAGATTTGATATTTGAGATATCCAATTTCCAAAAATGATGTTTGGTGAAGATAAAAAGGAATCCGATTGATATCTCGAGATATGCTACATATCTCCAAAACTGCTGCATCTTCATATCGGCATGTCTTAGCCGATTTCGAATTTGCTAAAACTGCCTCTCCCATTTCATAGCTGGCGTCATTTTATTCTTTTGATGCATTATTTTTGTTTTTGGTTTACTATTTTTTCTCTTTAAAAAAAGGTGATTTTAAATATTTCTCTCTCAAATAAATGATATCCCTTCCCTTTTTATATGACCTAAGATTGTTTTTAACATAAAAATATATAATTACGGTCACAAAAAGTAATAAAGCATGATCAAGAAAACATTAAAATTTCATTAAAAATATACAAATAAAACCTTATTCTGTATTTTTAACCAATACAATATATCCGTATTAAAATATTATTCAATACTTATATTTCGTACTACTTCCGTCTCTGAGTATTTGTTCAATTTGACTTTTTCAGTCAATTATTTTCAATCTTGACTTATAATTAAATAAAACATACGGAGTATATTGTATATTAATTAGATAAAATAATATTTTAAAAATATTTTATATTATAAATCTAATAAAACTATTCTCGTATCAATATCCAATATTATTTTTATTTAATTTGAGGTCAAAATTTACCAATTTTTATCAAAAAAATCAAAAGTAGACAAATACTCATAGACGAAGGAAGTCATTGATTTCATAATTGCTCCCCAAATAATTGTGGATGTGATTTGATTTCATTTCTGTTTTTTCTAAGGGACTTCGATTTCAGATTTCAAACCCCACATCATTTCTCTCTGCTTTTAAAAATCATATATTATCATATTTCCAGAACTCACCAAACGGGCCATAACATATATTCCACTGTAGCTTCTGATATTTCTATAGAAAAAAAATCATTCATATTCCTGCACTATCAAAGTGGAAGCATAGAGAGAATATGCTAAACTTGATAACCTTGAACATAGTCAGTCACATGGGAGAATCCCATTCTTCTACGGCATCTACTTGGTCCCCGAGAACATGCGCTGTTTATGGGAGTCGTTTGTTAAGCACATCAAATACATTTATATATTTTCATTAATTATTTGATAAAATAAAATAGTCTTGACACCTATTATTTAAAATAACTTTTCATGAAAAATTTAAATTTTATCTTTTATTTTTATACAAATATTTAAATAAAATAAATTTAAAAAACCTAATATTTTACCTCATTTTTTTTTAAATGTGGTAAGAGTAAGTTTCAATATCTCTTTACAACCTTCTCAAATGGTCTTATTTTGATGTCTCGATTCTCGTTATTGTACATTTCCAATGTCTGTTTTTCTCATTTTTACGAAGTGGCATGTGAACCTACCTCAGATATTGTCCAAGTTCACGCACACAAATAGAGCAAAACACCAAATTTCATTTGATTGATACAGGGGAGAAACCGAGGAAGTTTCAACGATTCGCTTATAACAAATACAATTGGAAGACACAAAGGCTAAATTGCACCTCCCCACTTGTCTACAAATTTCACATTTCAATGCAATTCCCCTCTTAAAACTCTAACCACACAAATAATGGCGCATAACCGGCACTTCTCTACTCCAAAGGAAAACTAAATGGGTAAATCTAATTTACAAACCAGATCAGAAACCCCCAACTGGACTGTATTGAGAATGTCACTTTCGGGCTTAACGCATCGGAGTTGCAGCATTCATTAAGACCAGTCTCGTGTGGGAAACGCGTGAAGAGAAAATCATATCCTTTGGTATTATCTCCTCAGACGATCCCTTGAGAAGAAGGGGTGATGCAATGCTTGGCGGGCCGTGAGCCTCTCTGTAGGGTCATATCTGAGAAGCCCTTGCAAAAGACTGATAAGGTCCCCGGCTGAATGGTCAACGTGTTGCATGACCAGGTTCTGTCAAACAAAGTCAAATGAGCTTTCAAGCAGAAAGTGTTAACATAGGATACATATATATACATATATATATATATAAGGGAAGGTGACCTGAAGCCTAGGCATTTTCTGTACAGCTCTGATACTGTCTCTTGATGATGCACCCTCGGGCCAATCCAACATTCCCTTTCGTACATACTTCTCTGCACTCCGGCTAATTAAAGCCGATAAGAAGAAAACTTTAGGAACAACCGACAAGAATAGCATGACCAAAATGCCAAGATGGAAAGTAATGGAATTGGTAACTTACTCTACTCTCTTCAACATTGAAGATGGCATAGGACCGAGTACCTTCTCCATCATTGCTAGATGTTCTAGATTTTCGTGGGTTTGGAATAGAGCTTCACCCTGGATGATACGTCAACCACATGGAAGTAAGAAAACCAAATCAAAGGTAATTTCAGGAAAGTTTCTGTGGCATGAGATTTGACAAGAGCACAAACCGAGCATAGCTCTACAAGGATGCATCCAACACTCCATATATCGCAGGGATATGTCCACCCAAGACCTAGAATGACTTCAGGTGCCCGGTAATGACGTGTGGAAACGATATAGGATTGATTGTCATTATCATATGTTGTGCTCCCGAAATCAATGACTTTTATAGCACTAGATTTTGGGACTCTCTTATAGTAACTGTCTTTGGCTGATCTCGAAGAGTACTGCATCCAATCAAGATCATCAGTGTGAAAAATGATAATAATATTCTATGTGCATAGTAAAGGTTAAGTTGTGGATAATTTAAACTATTACCTTGTAATCAGGAACCTTGACATAGTCAGGAGATACGAGGAGGATGTTCTCTGGTTTCAAATCAGTGTGGATGAGGTGCAAATCATGCATGACTGTGTTGGTAAATGAACAATTACAATCAGAGAAGACAGGTAAAACAAATTCCAAACACATAACTATTATATAGTAATAATAATATAAACAGGTACAGCCGTACATATCTAGTAACTGACCCATAATGAAAATTTTTATTTTTAACCAATAAATCAGAAAAATGGCACTGTGGCTACAAATGACCCCAAAAAATAGTGCACACAAGCAAAAATAAAGCAAGATGAATAACTTTGTAAAAAGCAATTATTTACACACATGCTACACATTCCAACAGTTGTCTTCCAATCTCACGGACAAGGTCAATAGGAAATGAGCGGTAATTGTTTTTCCTTAGAAAATCGTATAAGCTTGGTCCAAGCTTCTCAAAGACCTGTTATCATTTAAAGTTCATCCACAATTTTAATCCCCGTAACATTTGTTAGTTGGGGAAGTTAATCCATTAACCAACTATATACTTACAATACAAACATGGTTACGATAGTCAAACCAGTTCCGTATTTGAACACAACTGCAAGGAACAAACAAATTCAACCACTGCCAAAATAGAGGCAAAACGTTCAATAGGAACATTAATGCATGTATAAAGCACTAGACTTACCGATTGCCCCCTTTATCATGTTTACCAAGCTGTTGAAGCATATCAATTTCAATCATAGCTGCATCACGGTACTTCTTCAACCCACGAACAATTTTAATGGCAACCATTTCTTTCCTTTCTCGGTCCCAACATTCAAGCACCTGTCCGAAAGTGCCTTCACCCATTTTGCTGTGAATCTTATCTGAAAATTGAGCAACGTGGAAACCAAAAAAAAGTTAGAGCAGAAACAGAATTAAAGATAGAAACGATGAAAAGACCTATTCCCCCTTTTGTATGCATTCCATATTATTTAAATTAAATTTCCATGACGACATAAATTCTAATCTTATCGCAATCATAGTAGGAGATTATTACAGCGTGAAGTTATATTTTCTCCAAGCTCAAACACATAATGCCCATCTTTGTCATCTTCTCTCCTTGGGGGAGAACCATTTCGAGTAACACCCTTAACAAAAAGGGAACTAGAAAAGTCGGAGGGTTGCCTTGAAGGTGCATAGCTTGCCACACTCCCAACCTCTTGCCCACAAAACAAACCTAGCTGAGCCTACACACAGGTACTCCATTCATGTTTTCCTCCATATAAAGTGTTATTTTAACCTTACAGATTATTGGGATTTATGTCTTGAGAAAAAAGTAAACAAATGATATCATAAAAAATTCAAAGCAAACAACAAAGTATTAAGCAGTATGGGCTCCAGATTTCTCAAATTCACACAAGAAAACAGGAACATATATCTTGTAAGGTTCAAAATTTCGTTTAAACTGCATTTAATTACATCACATAGGAGTATTTATCAGTAACACACTAGGAATAATATGCACATCTGCTTCAAACAAACCTATTTGTCATGGATCCAGACATCCTGTAATAACTAAACCATAATAAAAAACATAAAAAGATCGTTCATATATGCAACTCTTACACCAGGTATCAGATATCCAGATCCAATTTAGAAATCATAGATCTCAACTCCTGACATTCAAAAACTAGGAATTCGATTCAAAAATACATGAAAACCCTAACAAATCTGCTATTAAAACGATTTCAACACCACGGACACAACATGCGAAGAAAAAATCCGTCCCATACCTGATTCGATAAGGGATCTAACCTGGTCGAGATCTAGAAAAACAGAAACGAAACACAAAAAAAGTCTTCGCGATCTAATAAATCCGAGATCGGAAAATTATATTACCTTAGAGACCTCCGGGAGGACGTCCCAGCCCAATCGAGCCCGCTTCCGCGGCCGCCGGTCGAGTTGCATGATCGGAAACTCGGTCACGCGCTCCATCTCCATGGCTGCAAAAGGAGAAATTCTAGAGAGAGAGAGAGAGATTGGGGGAGAATTTGGGATGAGATTGTGAGGTTGCGTGTGAATGTTTCAAACCCTATCTTCACCAAATATATATTGGCCTCACTGGTCTCGTCGAGAAAAAAATCTAGGCGCACACGTGTCGCGTATTTAAGCCATTCGATCCGATTTCCGTTTCGGCCAATTGAGTTATTGGGCCGATATTCACTGGATAGTGGTGGATCCTAATCTTGTAATGCTGGGCCTTATCAAATCAAAGTGGTAAATAAAAATAAGAGCATTAGCTTGCAATGGAGTCCGTCAAAACCACCGTCGAGGGGTCCGGCGTGGCGGACGCCCGCTACGGAGGTCGGGGGAGTGTCCGGTGCCGCGGCATGGGCCGGACGCGGGGCTTGGGGCGCGGGCAATGGCTTGCGGCCGGAGCCATTACCATGCCACACTGTGGGACGTTTTTTTGTTTTATTTCTCAATTTAGTTTTTTTTTTAAATTTTGAACTCTATAATTAAAAATTTTTTTATTCAATTTCAATTTTTTTAAAATTTAAGTTATTTAATAATTAATATATTTATTTTATGCTACTCTTTTTATTTTTTTAAATTTTGAACGTATTATTTGTATTTTTTACTTAGTAATACTATAATAATACAATGTAATTATTAGTATTATTCTATTATCTATCTATTTTTATTAATAGATAAATATTTTTATTTAATTTATATGACTTTTTAAGTAAAAATGATAAATATTATCCATTATAAAATGCTTGAGGGGCGGGCGAGAGAGTACATGCTCTAGAGGGTGTGTTTGATTAAACAAAACAGATACTCCTATGAGTAATGAAGTATCATTTATACGGAGTAATTCTTAACATTAGAATTCTTTTTTTGGATTTAAACATTTGGATAAGTCTAAAGAGATTTTGGATTTGATCATCCTATATTAAAAACGTTCGTAAGAGAGGAATTTTCGATAATCACAATTTTAGAAATATCAGTATGAAGATTTGATATCCTCTTCAAATGCCGACCACCCTCACTATGGGCTATTCATTTGTCGTTGTCGGTCACTCTCGTCGATTACTAAAATCACTCTCGTCCATTACTAAATATCATGATTAAAAATATCTCAAAACACCTTTATAGTTTGGGTTTCACAATTTATATCAATTCTGCCAAATTTAAAAATCAATGTCATCAATTTTACAAAACTCGCCAAACCGGCCCAAAAACTTTTTGTATGAAGTATCTATTGCGCCGAGCTCCACAACCGGTATATCCTTAAGACTTTTCATCAGCTCAAATACTCAATGAAACCGCATAATGTTGGCAAACCCACCCAATGCCAAATATAGTAATTTATCGCAATGATCAACTTGAATGACAAAAATCAATCCTAAAAAAGTTTCATTCTTTCACCATTTGAAAATACGGTCTGTACCGTTGAGCCAGCCCAAACATATTGAGTGTGCCTCCCGTGTGAAGCATCACGGCCTTTGCGCTTTCGTCCCCACCAAATTGCATCGCCATTTCCCAAGCAGCAAGAGTGTATATAGGGTCAACAAGAATGCCGGTCTCCTGCGCAATTCTTTGGCATCTCTCAACTTCACCTTTCAACACATTGCCAAATCTGTTTTGAAGAAAAAAACGAAAGAACAATGAACTGGTTCATTACTTTAAAATGCCCAAAGAGAACCTCCCAATGCACGTAACAATGACTAACGATACAAAGGTTATGTTGCAAATAATGCAAATATTTTTTGCCTAGAAGAATTTAATGTGACATTTGTCCTTGTTAAGTTTCCATTGTAAATGGAGCTAAAAGGGCAATAACTGCAACGATGATGCATCAAGGGTCTAATAGAAAGAGCCTCTCTGTTTTTATAGGGTAAGGTTGCTTACATCTTGCCCCCCTAGATCCCAACAGTGATGGGAATATACTGGGTTTTTTCTTAGTGTATCGTTTCTTGGAAACAACCTCTCTACTTTCTAGTAGGGGTAAAGTCTGCGTATACCCACCCTCTCCGGACCCTGCTTTTGTGGAACTGCTTTTGTGGAATTGAACTGGGTTGTTGTTGTCGTCCTTAGACCTTAATGCACTATCCACTTTTAAGAAGTTTGTGTGCCCCTCTTCTAATGGTCTAGTTACAAAATGTATGAGGCATTAACTATTTTTTCCAAGTTTATGGCTATAAACATTTTACACATTGAGTGTATTGAGCCAACAAATTGTTACCACATTAAAAGAGAGTAAATTGACATTTTGTTTTCAACTTATCTCAATATGAATCGTCTTAGATATTCTCCATGTGTAGTTTGGTCAAAAATTGAGAGCTAAAAAGGGATGGAGGGGGTAAAATTGTAAGAGTAGGATCAATTACTTTCTTGGAAAAATGCGCTTGACCCAGCGAACAATTCTAACTCTTTTGCTCAACAATTGGTCAAGATTAAGGACGTTGAAACTCTCATGAAACTCGGATACTAGACTTTTCTCCTTTTCTCTATATCCCTCAATAGTGTCAGCCAGCATAACTGCATGTATTTCCCATGGTAGCCTGAAAAATAAAAAAAACAAACAAAAAAAAAGCTAAGGGTTTGCCAAGCAACCTATCTGAAAAGTGAATAATTAACTGAAAGCTAAAAACCAATTACAACAACAGCAATAAACCAAGAAAAATCCCAGAGAGTAAAAGGATGGTGAGGTTGTTTTCAAGAGACCCCAGCTTAAAACAAAAAGAAAACAAAAAAACAGGGAAAGGAAAAGGGATAACACGGGAGAGGAGCATGAAAGAAACAAGCATACAAACAGATACACCAATTAAGAAAATTTAGTCATACACAAGGGTAGAGCAATACCCAAAGGCCTACCCTAACACCTTGTTAGCTCCTCAACATGTACATCAAAAACTGAAAACTAATTGAAAACAGAAAGTTATACGTTAGGTACTTAAGTTTAAATTCGTTAAGATACAAAAGATGTTTGATGAAATTGACCGTTCAAGTATACATAAAAAAAAGACATTAATGAACGTATTGACCCCCCCCCCAAACCCGAGTGGACAGAGTTGGGATTATACTGAGATTGTTGTTGTTTGATGAAACTCGGAGCAGGGCTTTTTTTAAATTTATGATAAGGTTTAAGTTCCTAAATAGGCTCTCGCAAACATAGCCTAAATATACAAAAAAGATGTAGATCAAAACTATGTTTGAGATGTTTCCATTTGATGATGCAAGAAGACAGATGTAATAGACTGAAGAAGCTTACCCCATGCAAAAAGCACCAAGTCCTAAACCAATAGCAGTAGTACCTGTACCAGCATCCAGAATAATTTTAAGCGGCTGATTTCTTCCAAATAAATGTTCTTGGGACAAGTGCTTTACAAGGCGAATGGCACCTGAAATGATTTTCCCCCGTTTTGTCAGAAACATCGGATACTCGGATAGAAGTAAACAAGGCTAACTATACACAGTAGAATCCTAGAGAATTACTCATAATATATGATGAATGCAAATGTGAGTATGACACCAACATATGAACTTAATACTTATGAAACAGCATTCATGTTTGACAAGTTTTGCTACAAACAGAACACGTCAATTGCCTAGGAGCCTTGAAAAACAGTTAATCTGATACTAATGGCTACTTTACCTAGTAATCCTACAGCATCTCCAGCACCTTCATTAATAATTATCACCTTCTTTTCACTTCTTGCACGGTTATTGGCAGCCACTTCCAAAAGCTGTTCATCTAATCGTTTTTCATAGAAAGAAGTCTTCACAAGTTGATTAAGTGAGACAATTGATCCATTTATCCCTGCCACTTCATTGGCATGTGTTGTGAGCATTTCTTCTCTCTTTGCATATAGGGATCTTGGGACATAGGTAACATTTCCGTACATTGTGGAAATTAAACAGTAACCTGTGAGAGTTTCAGGCTGTTCACCACGAAGAAGTAAATGAGACCTCAGTCCCATCTCTGCACATGCCACGGCTGCATTGCCGGAAAAATGACCCAATTAATGAGACAAGCAAAAGCAGTAATAAGACCAGAAAAATACCTAAGCAATTTTGTATATAGGCTACTAAATCACATACCAACAGCAGCTGCATGTGCGCTTTGACAACCTCCACAGGTAACCTAAAAATGTCGTCATGAGAACTAGTTTCATGATATGGTCCCTTCATTAAGGCTTCGTGTGGGGGGTGTAAGATGATTCCCAAAAAATGATATCCCTGAAAATGAGTCATTTTCCAAAAAATCATTTTCTTTTTTATGCATTTGGCTAAAAGCTTGAAAATGGGTGGTTCTTGTTTGGTTCATTTTCCGGAACCTTGGAGTCAAATCAGTCAATGGCTAATTGGCTACTCACATGTTCCTATATTTATCAAATGATGCTAGTTTTTCATGGGTACCCTTGTGCAGTTCAAACTCTTTAGTGTGACCATATTAATGAACACATTTAATGTGTGACCATACCAAATCAAGCTCAATAGGGATACCAGAATCTCTCATTCATGGTATCAAAATTGCCAACCAATACTTAATGGATGCCAAGACTCTATTTCAAAGCCAGTAAGTTGGGCCTTCGTAAGGAATTTCAAAAGGATGCTCATTTTGGCAATTTAGGCCCTGTTAGGAACCACATTTTTAATTAGCATTTTGGATAATTTCATAATGGTGATGTTCAACTATAAAAAATACTAAAGCTAAATGTTACCATTAGATGACCTTTTCAAAATGTTGAAGTTGCCAAATGGGCACTTAACACAGGCAAACTAATGCTAATTTATGGTGTAAGTCCACATATATATTGGCTTACCACATCAGTTACCGAACAATCTTCAAGTAGAGGGAGCACCGCATCCAGCTTCCTTGCCTTGTTACCATTCACCAGGGGATGCAACAAGTCATCCCTCAACACATAAAAGGATGGGTGACAATGGTTACTGTCCACCAATCTTTTTCCCAAAGAAGGTTTTCGATTATTAACAAACGAAACATTGTCAAAAACATGTCCTTCTTCTATGTACTGATTTGATACCATTATTTGGTGAATTTTGGTAGCAGGGCTTCTAAGTGCCCATTTTCTGTCAAGCAATCTTGATACAAGCTCGTCATTGTGCACATTGAGTTCTAAAGCACCCTGAAAATAGGCCAAAAAATTTCAACTGCCTTAGCCTTACTCCGTATTAATTATTATATGAGAGAACATTTAAAAAAAATCCCATAGATCAGACACAGAAAATAACCCTTATCCTCAAAATTTAGGAATTTGAAAGTGAAAAGAAAAGAAATTAAGATGGAAAACAGTTTTTCTTGTTTGATTAGAGAGGAAAAGAAAAGAAAAGTGGATGGAAAAGAAAATGAAAAGGTAAAACATACTAAGAGGAGGAAAAACCAAATTCCTTCCATTTTTTGGTGAGGAAAATGAGAGAAACTCATTTTTTCTTTTCTTTTCCTTCTTAATTCATTGAACCAAACATAGTGTTGAATAAACTGTTGATAATTAACCATATTTGTTATTTTAGTCTCATTATTCTACAAAAAAATGAGTAATTTTGGAGGGTGAACAGCTAAATCCAACAGATGAAGCAAAACAGAATACTTGAACACCTAAACACTTTTCGGTTTTCTCATTAATAGTAATAGCTATGAACAATAACACTATTATTAACCATGAAAATGGGAAATCTATCAAGTATTAAGCATTTACACAGTAATCTAGTTAACGGAGATAGAGAGAATATCGGCGGACCTGAGCGGAATTCCGAGGCGGCTCAGAATGGAATCTGCAGCTGATTGTTGAAAGCACGCCATTTCTGGGTATCATTTTAAGGCGCATGCTTTGAGAGGGAATCTCGCAGCTACAAGACGAAGAAAGGGGCGGACTCCGGCCTGAGTTTATGTGAGCTGTGTGTAGAGGCCTGTGTGTAGACGGCCAAAAATTGGGTGTGTATATGGTACAACCAATTAGCGTTTTGAAAAGGCTATCTACGGGCAGCCTTTAAAACGTTAGTGTTTTCAAAGTAATCTGCACCGTTAAAATTTTATCCAAAACACGAACGCTATTCCCAAACACGCCCTACAAAAATAGAGTGCAGCTGGATAGTACTCATTCTGAATTAATGTAATACTCATTTTAACATTTCATACAATTATAATTTTCATTTTCGAATGTCGTAGGATTCGTTCTAAAACAGAGTAATATTCATTCTCAAATAACGTAGTGTTCATTCTCAAGTAAAGTGCAACTTATTCCTTTCAAATTTGGAAAATATAATTAAATTAATCTTACTATCATCGTCATCTTCATAGCATTCAGTGCTGCAAATCAACAAGCATCTTCATCAACAGCATTTAGGGTTTCAAGCAATCGCCTTCATCATCTAGCGCAGCGTGCTTCTTCCATTTCGCCGGATCCATACAGGAAGGATAGGGCAACCCAATTCGGGTCGGGTCTCATCTTCATCTCCAACTTATGCGGCCTCTATAGCAAATTTCCAATCGGATCTCTACTCCTCTTCCTGATCATGCAGCCTCCTAGGGATCTCACATAGATTTTACGCCGGTTGTACGAGAAGAACCGTACAGTCGGGTGTACGATATAATTTGCGCCAATTTTATTTTTCTAAATCTAAACTTATTTTTTAAAATGATGTACTTTAATAGTCGGTATAAATTTTAATTTGAAACTGTTGGGTAGGCTGGGATTCGATGACAATAAGTCGTGAACATCAATTTTTTTATGAATTGATCAAAGTTAAATCTGACTTGACTGACCAATTTCTCAACTCTAACTAGCTATGTGATAAGATAGTATTATGGTGTTTTGGCAGTTTGGGATATTTTTGAGCCAAAGCCCTACAATATTTTAAGACACTTGATCTTTTAAAAAAATAATTGAACATAATTTCAATATTCACAATACAATCAAGTTTGATATTCCCTATTAATCTCATATGACTTTTTTTTTATTTTTAAAAAATCATGACTTAAAAATAGTGTTTATAAGAATGGATGTACTTATTTTTTAAATCATACTAAGTATAAAGATATGAATCAAATTATCAACTACTCCCTCCATCCTAGACTATTTGCCCACTTTTAACTTTTTTGGTCAAAATTAGTGAACTTTGATCCCAAATTAAATAAAAATGATATAAGGTATTCATACAAAAATAATTTTATTAGATTTACTATATAAAATATTTTTAAAATATTATTTTATTTAACTAATATACAATATATATTTTATTTAATTATACAGCAAAAGTTAAAAACGGCTAACTGAAAAAAGTAAAAACTGGATAAATATTTCAAGACAGAGTAGTAAGAAAAGACAAAACTCATTAAAATAATATTTTTAAAGTAAAATCAAATCAAATTTAAAAGCTAAAATAAGGAATTACAAACGTTATTATAACAAACATGGAAGGATCACAAGACGAAGAACTATTTCACTTCACTTAGGCCAATTAGTGCGGGTGGCCAGGGGGGTCGTGATGGCCACCTGGCGCCACCTCAGCTCCTATCACACGTGGAACACCCCTTATGGCGTGATTAATGGTGGTGATGCCCGTCATGGTGATCACACCAGCTCCCCCCCCATACTAGTTGTTGAAACGACTAGTTTCCACTTTTTTTATTTTGCATTATTCAAACTCATTTTCTTCACTTACCTACACACATTTTCAACTATTCTCTTCTACTACTCTGATACGGGTTTATATTTAGTTATTTACCATTATTATTATATTATTATTATCATTATTATAGGTAGTTTTATTATTTATGGTTAAATAATTATGGAGAAATTTACTTAAATAGCACTAAAACATAATAACTTTTCCTAAATAACACCACGTGTGTTTTTCTTCCCAATGTAGCATTTTTAGTCATTATGCATTAGTCATTATTCAAGTAAATATTCGCCATCACAAGACATTATGGACATTATTAAGTGCTATTTAGGGAATAAAACAATTTAAGTGCTATTTAGGGAAATGACTTAAGTTTTAGTGCTATTTAGTGCAAATATTTCTTTTTTCATAATCCTTTAATATAATATTTGGGAGTTGATTATATTAGATGATGACATGTGTCAATTGAGGGGCTTTATTATTAAGACACGTCAGATTACACGCGTCTTGATTTTAGACCCTCAAACATATGATACTTTCCGATCGAAAAAGAAGCGGTCTTCTTCGATTCTCCACGCGAAATCTTCATCGCATCACCCCATCGGCCATAGCTGATTCTTCTCACGGATTTTCTGCGTGATTTCTTCGCCGAAGGAAAGTCTGCAATTTTGAGAAACAACGTATTTTGGATCCGAAATTTTCGAAGCGTAAAAATGAGGTATGTTTCCAAAAATCATATGTATCAATTATTCAAGAATCATGAGGAATTTGTTTTACACTGCTTGCCAGCTCTTTAATCTCTGTTCTGGAGATCCCAATTTTTTCCGATCATATTTCGATCGTAAACCCAAAGGGAAACTAGAAAATTAATTCGTCTGCTTCGCCACTAAGGTAAACTCTCGAAATTCTGCATATTCATCAACTTATCCCTTAATTGAGATCCAAAATGCCAAAATTTGATTGTTATTGATGTCCCATTTTATCGTTCATATTCTTTGTTTTGTTTCCTTTAATTTGTATAAAAATATTGTTTTTTTGTGTGGGATCTAATTGAGCATCTTTTTTATTCAATTCATGTGATTCACCAATTCATATCATGTTTCACAATTTCTGCTTCCCAATTTTCATGTCTGAAATTCAAGCCATGGCATGAATCGCAAGAAGATATACTGTTGATGCAGTTTGCTAATTATTTCAGGTTTCAAAGCCTTTTGCTTCCCAATTTCCTTGGATGAAACTTCTTAAGGTTGTGTTAGTGATAATTTTATCATTTTCATAAATACGAATTTCTGATTCACAGATCTTATTATGTTTTAGGATGTTTTTCTCAAGCGTCCCCTAAATATTGCTGGAGGCTGGAGTTTTATATTTGCCAAAGGTATTAAGGTAGTCTACCGTTGAACTATGACAGACACACCTTTAGAATTCTCTCTTCTCCAACATATGCAACCTCAATCTCAGGTCAAATTCTTCGCCTCTTTTGGTTCTTAAGGTCAAGTTGGCAATAATTGTATCATTTTTGTGTATAAGAATTCTCACTACTTAAATCTTATTGTGTTCTTGGTCATTTGAGTTCTCAAAGGCTCATTATTATAAATTTAATATGGTGTTGCTCTCATATTCCAGTTGGTTACGCTTTATCCTATTATCTAATATAATAACTTACTGATGTCATTTAGTAATAATAAGAACTTGGGTGCGTGTATGTAGAAACACCGAAGTGTTCGATGCCTCTAACTCCAATTTTACTCAAATTCTGACCTCATTGCTTGCATGAATATGTAAGTCATTTCTTTCATATTACTTAGGAGTAATATTCAATTGTGCGCCATCCACGTGATAAGTAAGTGATCTGATTTTAGTTGCTTTAAAAAAGAATTTTTGTACCTTACTTTTATGAGTTTTGAGTTTTTTAGGATAAAGATAGGTAGAACAAGAAAACACTAAGTGACAAAATGCGGCTCATATTTTCATGCATGCATGGACTTCTTTTGAAAAGAATGAAATCAAAGAAATTATATCATTAATACACAAAACACTTTTTACTCATTAATATAATGATGATGGGTATAAGTGTATAACTTTTGTCCAATCATTTAAAAAAATTGTTTTTCTTGCTGGAGTAAATATTGCCTGTTTTTGTTTTGCTTTTAAAATTTCTCTTTCAAAATGGCCTTGGCTTTCCCTTTTATTGCCAACTAAAGCCTTGAAGCTGAAGTTAAGCCTTGAAGCTGAAGTTATAATATCTTACATGTGTCTTTCAGCTATATCAAAATGGCAAATTAATATAAGCCTTGAGGCTGATGTCATGGAATTGCTTAAACTCGCTCGAGAAGCTAGATGTCATGTACTATTCTGGAAGCTTCAGAACCTTTATTTTGGTAAGATATGATTTAGTACTTTTGCATTCACAATTCTAATTTACATAGTGAATACTTTAAATAACCCATTTCTTGATTCCCATGATTATTTTTGCCATGGCTATATATATTTTCTACACGCAGAACCCACGACACTTCCTTAGTTCCTTTACTTGAATAAACTGAATACTTTTACCCTGTACTGAACCATGCATTTTTTTGAGGTTTCCATGACTAAAACTATCTATGTTGAATGTTGAAGGATCAACGTTCGTGTAATAAGGCTATATACTCTGCCCGTATAGAGTGATGAGAAGAACATAAACTCTATTGAGATGGTCTTCATGGATGAACATGTAAGTTGAGTTCTTATAGTCCACCATATACTCCATTGATATTTTATAGAGGATATATAGTCCATGGGGACAATATGGTTAAAATCTGATATCCTGGAGGATATATGACATTTGCTCTAATGCAAAAATATGAATCTTAGATTTGCTTTGTTTTATTTTGTATGTCAAAAGGCTCTATAAAGAATTGTGGGTTGCTTTATCAAGGGATTGACTGCAATAATTTAAAAGATAATTATTATGACATGTCTACATGATTTTAAATTGCCAACCAAGATAACATATAAGTCTCTGTCCAAAAAAAATATCTTGACATGTTTGGATCTGGTGGAGCTTCTAATTTTTCCTTGAAGATGTATGCATATATAATAGGGTGAATTTGATATATATTATACTTATTTATTAGAGAGATTTTGATATGTATGTAAAAAACTATTCATATATATATTAAAATTGCATGAATTTGTCTCTATTTCCTCCCCTCATGTAAGGTTTTATTACTCTACAAACATGGGCTAAAGGATATGAATGTCAGTCTAAGAGGTCCAAGAACACTCATCGTGCCATGTGAATGCTCAAGGACATTCTAGAACATATATATGTCATTAACATCCAAGGCTCCGTATTTACCCCTTATTAAATCTTCCCACATATATAATAGTACCCATAGCTTTACCCATATTAAATTTCATATGCAAGGCTACATTGGTAATTTGGTAATCTTTCAGCAGCTCCTTATTCTCTAAAAGAAAAACAGAATTGGATACAGACTGATCCAGTGAGCATGCCATTTTTTCATTATATATTTAATATATTTTCTTTTTCGTTGCTGTGTGGTTACTTACTCCCTCCGTCCCGAATTAAAATTCCATATTTGACTGGGCACAACTTTTAAGAAATGTAAAATTGAGTGATTGAGACCTATGCGGGAGAGACAGAAATAATGTAAACCACAGGTCCATTTATTTGAAAAGAAAGTGGAACCTTATTTTGGGACAAACAAAATAAAAAATGTGGATCCTTTTTTTTGGGACGGAATGAGTATTAGTTGTCTTGCCAAATAACCTTCCAAGCAATTGATTAAAGATGTTTGTCCCTTTTTATGCCTAGGTCGGCGAGCTAGAAAATCAAATTGATATTTTTGAGGCAGAACTGGAAGGACTAATTGTTAAAAAGAGAAAACAAGGCCCCCAAGATTGGTAAAGAAAGGGAACATCTTAATACTGATGACATTATGAGTGGTTTGACTCTTTTGGTGTTCATGTGAGATCTGTTTCATAGGTTCATTTGGAAGCATCCATTGTTCGACACAAGGCTCATATAATGAAGTTAGAATTAATCTTGAGGTTACTGGATAATGATGAGTTGAGCCCAGAGCAAGTCAATGATGTTAAAGATTTTCTGGATGCTATGTGGAGCGCAATCAGGTTTGCTTTTTTCAATATAACCCCCCTCCCCCCAAATAAACTCATGTCATTTAAAGAGATCAAATACTACTATTGAATTCTTAAAATCTTCATATCATGGAAATTTTACCTCAAAATTAATATAAATATTTTGTAGACTTTAGAGTTTGTTTTCATTGTTTTAATTACCCACACATAACAACACTAAATACATAATACACATGTGGTTTTGGTTGAAATATTTCATCGCATATGCATTATGTGATATGTTTTTGGGCATTCACATTATGTTCTGTTTCTTGGAGGACTTTGAAGATTTTGATGATGTTGATGAGCTTTATAGCTCCCTACCATTAGATAAGGTGGACTCTCTTTATTTACTTATTTGTAAAAATATTTGAAAAAAAAGGAAAAGTTAGTCAATAAAAAGTAAGAATAAAGTGTTACACGTTTTTGCAACGTAAATGTATAATAATTAAGAAAGCAAAGTTATACGTTTTGAGTATAATATTACAGAATAGTTTCTTACATTTATATTTTATTTTAATTTTGTTTATAAATATAAAATATTAACCGAGATACTATATACTAAAAAATTATCGTATTTTAAATTTTTTAATAAAATGTCAAACAATTTACCTTCTACCAAATAAAAACTAATAATATTTAATCAACTAAGAGAATCACAAAGTATAATACACCAAATATATAACAAATTTTTTAGAAAATATGAAATAGTACCTTGAGAGATTTTATGCGGTTCTCTAATAAAAATGCTAAAAATGAACCTTTCGGTGGGAAAACGGTTGTGCTCGGGGTGACTTTCGTCATATACTTCCGGTTACACCAAGAGCTTCAAGAAAATAAATTGTGAAAGGTATCGTGAATTCATCGACTTTGTGGTAGTATTGTAAAGTATTTACATTGACTAAAAATATGAGATTACATTTGTCTTTATCCAACCACGCAGATAGTGACACACAACTTTTTTCTGAGTGGATAATCAAGATTGGAGATGAACAGCTTGACGTGGTTAATGATGGAATTGGTGAAATTGAAATTCCACCTGAATCCTTGATCCTGAACTCAAGTTCTCCACTATAGAGTATAGTGGAATTCACGTATCCAAACTTATTGAAAAATATGAAAGATTATACTTTTTTATGGATAAAGTTCTGTTAGCACTCACGCTTGAAGTTGTGGAAATGATCAATGATTTTGTTTTGTCTCTTATTCCTAGAGATTAAAAGAAGTATTTGAGCTCTGATTTTTCATGTCAAGCAAATTCAAATGTAGGCATAGATGGTGATTGGATAACGACTGAGTTTTTGAACGATATCAAGTGTTCGGAGATTCCAATTATGTTATTAGGAAACATTGATCGAACATCTGGGTTGTGTAGTGTTACAAGGTTAATAGTTGAAGAGTTGCGAATAAACGTTATCGGTGCAATTGTTGTATCCGGAAACAATGCAATTGAGAAAGTTTACATACTAAGAATGAATTTGGTGCCGTCAGATTCTGAATTACCGTTTAAGTTTCAAAAAAGACAATTTCTAATATCTTTATGTTTTGGCATGAGGATCAATAAGAGTTAAGTCCAAACATTATCTTTTGTTGGATTATTCTTGACTAAATCGACATTCTCTAATGGTGAACTTTATGTTACAGTTTCACGAGTGAAAACTAAAAAAGAATTGAAAGAGTTAGTTTCAGATGACAACGACGACCCTTGCAATTGCACAAAAAATGTGGTTTACTCTAAAGTTTTTCAAAAAATTTGGATTTAATTAATACACTTATACGTTCTTCTCAATTTATGTATATATATGAATTTTAGTTAGCATACTTTGTTTATGTCGTATCATTCATTATGCTTCTAACATTGTATACTATATTTAGCTATATTTTTTAACCATTTACTAAAACCAAAAATTCAACAGAGTAAAAAACAACATGCGTTTGACCCCGTGCGTTGCACGGGTTAAATACTAGTTATATTATTATTAGGAAGTATAATTATATGAGATCATTAGTATTATGGTTTATTTAGTTACCTTGTATGGTTAGGATTCTCTAGATCTACCATCTATATATGTAGCCATTACTTATAATTTTATTATTCAATCAATAAAGAAATCATTCTCCTAAACTCTAATTTTCTTCTCTCTTCTCTCTCGTGCTTCTCTTCCATCGAACAAGGATTCGTGATCCTCTCCCTTTTCTCGTCACGTTTTCTCTTGGAGCTTGAAGGTGTTCGAAATCCTTCTTTATCCCGATACGATACTGTATCATACTCTTCTAAAGTGAGCTTTCTTCATGAATACTGTGGCCAGGCAGTTCAAATTCGTATGTAACAACAAGAAAACGACGAAATGCCTGAACCACGAAGAAGAGCTCTAAACTGAGATAGAATCGATATTATTTGATGTTTTTCATCTCACACTACAAATTAGTTGCATTTTTGTTAAATATTATTTTAATATTTTATGAAACCCATGTCTGGGTTGACATGATTGATTAGTTGTAGATTTTTTTTTCTGAAAATACGATCTTCAACGACAAATAATTCAGGCACAAATTTCGCTCGTCGTCTTTTTCTCCCCATTGCGAGTGATTTAGCGGGTGCAACACTTTTTTTTTACTTTGCAATATGATGCCCGACAAAAAGTTGGGTTCTAGTGTTGCAAAAATGCACTGTAGCGTTGCGACCAATGGCATACAACAATAGTGTAGATGCACTTGATGAGTATCTGTGTATGTCCAATCGAACTGTATGTAAATGCATGTACAAGTATTGCAAATGGGTAACCAGATTATACAACGACGAGTATTTACGCATACCCACACAAAAAGACGTGAAAGCATTCTACGCCACCCACAATGATGCTTGCGGCTGTGGGATCTCATGATCTGTGGAATTGACATGTGTTTTTTGGGGTGGCCTGTTCGAACAATGATTTGAACGTTCTTGGACAGTTCGATATATTCAAAGAACTCGTATACGGTATCGGGCCCGACACTTCATTTTCTATTTCTGGGTGGAGTACAGTCATGTGTATTATCTTACCGACGGTATCCATCCAGACTACACGATTATAGTCAAAAGTATAGCATTTTGTAAGGACCCACACAGAATGAAATTTGTCAAATACCATGAATCGACAAGAAAATACATGGAACGTCATTTTGGTGTGCTCATGCAAAAATGACACATTGTGCATATAATATGTGAGCTTTCTCACTTAAAAAATTTGTGTAACATTATGCATGTTTGATGCATCCAACATAATATCATTGTTGAAGATAAAAGATGTACGATATGCGAATACAAATAATCGAATGGTCATAATGTTAACGTTGAACCAGTTGATGCAACACATTAAGATCTCAACAGATTCGCGTTATATAACACTCATATGCACCACAACGTTCGTGCCAATTTAGCTAAACATTTGTCAAACTTTACTCATACACTTCCGAATTACGAATAACTTTACTCCGCCTCATACTAATTTTACTTTTTTTATTCTACCTTTTATATCACATCAATATAATTTTGATTTAATGTTAATGAATTATTTATTTATTATTTTTATTTTAAACTACTTTTATTTAAATAAAATCTAAATAAATTAGATGTAATGGGCGTGATCTATAGCCCTGTCCAGTGATGGATTGTGTTGGGAAATAGAAAAATGACGTGGCATTGAGTGGACCCTCATGTTTAGTATGTAAAGACTATGACATTATTTCCTCCGTTGGGATTAAGTTATTTACATTTTTGATTTTATCTGTTAATGATAAAGAGTGCATTCTTCATGTTTAGTAAGTAAATCAATGTGTGTTATCAAATTTATCTTCTAACATGAATGATACATTCATCCCAAAAACTAGTTTGATATTTGACCCCCAATTGTTTAACATTACTTATTTTAGAAAGAGACTATCTAAAATATACTCATTTAGTTAAATTACTTAACATTATCTAAAAATTACTTATTTTATATGCCTTAGAATATTTCTTCAATTTGATTTTTTGTAGTTAAAGAAAACAAAATTTGATTGTTAATTAAATTTAAATTAAATTACACGTATACCCTTTGTCCCTCTATGACTATCTACGGTACAAAAGTTGTATTGCATATCTAATTTACCCTCTATTTGTCCATTTTGTGAAAATGTTTCCCATTTTAGATCTAAGTAAATTCTTCTTGTACTCTCTTTGTCTCATAAAAATTTATTTACTTTGAAAAAATATGAAGTTTAAAGAATGTGTAACTTTGGTGTTACTTTTCAATTTTGTCATTACTTTATTATTTTGCATGGTAGGCTGTTATGAGTAAATTAAGAGCAAATATATATGAAATGATAAATAAGTTAATAATCAATATTGATAAAGTAAGATTTCAATTAAAAGTAAAACTATTTTTTAGGACTTATGAAAAAATAGAGTGAAAATATTTTGTTGAGACAAAGAGAGTATTTAAATAGTAATACTACGTATATAATTTTTTAATTGATGGTTAAAGTTTAGTTTAATTGATGATTAAAGTTTCTTTGTTGTATAAAATTAAACTAAACTAATATTCTAGGATTGGAAGTTTTTTTTTTTAATAATTTACACAAAAGTTAGATATTTACTTAGATCAAGTGGTGCAACCCATTGAATCCGGATGGAAAAAGATCAAGCAACAATGCATAATGATGTTTGAATATCTTCACAACAATAATTGCAATTAGCAAAATTAAATGAATGGATAAGCATACACTCCACAAAGCCTACTAATAAAAGGAATCCTTCTTGGCTTAGAACATCCCTTAAACAACCCATGTTTTATTGGGAGCCAAACTCCTTGCGAAGCAACCCAGAAACTCACCCCAAAAACTCCGCTGCTGCTGTGATGATTTGTACCCAATTCCGCTGCTGGGTCCCACCGGTGATGAAGTGAACTATTAAAAAAGGGAAAAAAAGTTTTTTTTATAACCTTTTCTTGTTGGATTTCTCTTCCATCTCTCTCTCCCACCGTCAAGTGAAACCTCTGAATTTCTGGGCTTCAATTGAAACGAGGTCAGTTGTTTTCTGGGTTTCTTTCTGAATTATTTGACACCCATTAGTTTTTAGTGATCTTTTCCATGTTTTTAATGGTAAAGATTGCATCTTTGGGACATTTCATAGACTAAAATCAATGGTTAGTGGTGTGCTTGAGTGATTCAGTTTCAATGTTTGCATATGATTGCCATATTATTCTTGCAAAATTAGTTTTTAGTGATCTTTTCCATGTTTTTAATGGTAAAGATTGCATCTTTGAGACATTTCATAGACTAAAATCACTGGTTAGTGGTGTGATTGAGTGATTCAGTTTCAATGTCTGCATATGATTGGCATAAAATTCTTGCAAATGTTTTGTAATGTTAAGTGTGATTTGCAAAGTTTGGTGGCTGATTTCCCAAAAGAAAAGAGACACCAGGCCAAGAATCGATGCCTTTTTCTTAGAGAAACTTTTTCCTGGAATTCAGTTTTCTTTAACCTTACTTTCTCTGGCTCTAATCTGGGAGATGAATGTTTTTTGGGTTAAATCCTTAACATGTCTGTTTATGTTCAAATGTTCAATGCATCATCTTGAGATCATAGAAATTTCATTTTCCAGCCCAAGAAATCTTGGCTAGGTTCTATTCATTTAGTAAAATCTATGGCTTTTAAGAGAAACTTTTTCCCGAAATTCAGGTTTCTTTAACTTTACTTCTCAGGCTCTAATCTGGCATGTAGAATCATGATCGACAATGATAATTCCTGTATATGGTCTAGTTTAGCCTAAGTTTTTGATGATTGACTATATACTCAACATTCCCTTGTGCAACTTGGGTGTTTTTTTTTGCCTCAAGTCGTTACTTGATCGAGTATACCGCGTAGAATAATAAGATTCCAAGGCAATGGAAGTTGTAATTCATATTCTTATACTCCGTATATATTACTCTGCGTGCACACCCTCCCCATACCCTGCCATTTTGGGATTTAATTGGGTTTTTTGTCGTCGTTCTATGATTTTTTTTTTTTTGAACACAGCACTTTATATTATCTCCAAACAAAGTTCATACACTCCCCCCAAACCAAGGGCTAACTAATACAGAGACATGGCCTACTACAAACACTAATAGCCATGGTGAGGTTAGACTTCAGGGTTTCAAACAGACTTGCACTAGACTCATTTTTTCTTGCTGTATACTTTAGCATTTCTAGCCTTCCAAACATAGTAGCAAACAGCTACAACGGTCGAAGCAATCAGCAGTTTATCCTTCCTATTCTTGCCATTACTCATTTTCTCCTTCAGTTCTGTCAGTGAGTTAGAGACAAGATCATACTTCAGCCAAGTTTGGATGTCTCTATACACAGATACCACAAAAGGACAAGTGCAGAACAGATGGGCAGCAGATTCCTCTTCTCCCTCACACATTACACACTTCGTATCAATATCCATAAATCTCCCCTCAACCTGTCCTTAGTAAGGATTAGATAAGCCAGGCAATGAATCTATGTTTAGGTATAGACCATTTATTCCATACCAAAACACTCCAGTCAACTTTAGTCTGCAATCCTTTAATCCAATCATATCCTAGCTTCACATCATAATTGGGTACTGCAGGCATACCTTGAAATAGCTTCCTTGTCTGGAGCATTTTCTTCCAGTAGTAGCAATCATCTTGTTAAGAACTAAGCCCATTGTTGGATGTCATTAGAGACACCTCCCAAGAAGACTTGGGACTTATCATAGTTAAGAACTAAGCCCATTGTATTCTTGAAGTGCCTTAGACTAGACAAAATGCATTCAATAGATTCAACTTCAGCTTTACAGGCAACAATTAGGTCATCAGCGAACACAATGTTGATTAATTTGAGGGATTTACATCTGGGATGAAATTTGAATCTATTATCTTTTGAGTAGAAAATTAAGGCTCTGGTTAAGTATTCCATGATAAGGGTAAAAAGCAAGGGTGATACTGGATCCCCTTGTCTAAGGCCCTTTCCTCCCTCAAAATGCCCAAATACTCCCCCATCAATCTGTATTGAATAAGCTGCAGTTGTCACACAGAAATGGATCCAAGAAATGAATTTATTAGGAAATTTTAGAGCTTCCATGATCTGAAACAATCCCTTCCAACTAACAGAATCATAAGCTTTCCTTAGGTCCAGCTTCATAAGGCATCTGGAACTCACATGCCTTCAGTTCTATGAATTTTTTTTAATATCATTAAATCCGTATTATGACTGTTTACTTGCAAAAGTGTGTTGTTCAATGCATCTTAACTAGACCATAGAAATAATAACGTTTGTAGCCCATCAAAACTTGGGTAGGTTCAATTCATTCATTACGCCGCATTGGTTTCATCATGTTTGTGTCTGGTTTATATGGCTGGCTTTCTTGCACTAGGTTTCAGAATCTGTGTAGACCGACGGGTTCATGGGTGGGAAAAGTTCAAAGAGATCTTCTGCTTCCACTGGCCGCTATGCCTCGTTTGGCTCCAGTTCTTATAACGGTTATTGCAGTGGATATTCTCAGCAATCTCCTCAGCCTAGCTACAGTTATGCATCACCGCCTCCTACTACCCGAACATACGGTGGTGGCCCACCGCCTGAATCAAGGAAACGTTTGGAAAGGAAGTTCTCAAGAATTGACGATAACTACCACACCTTGGACCAGGTGGGTAATTCTTGTTTTCCTATGAAAAAAATTGTTGTTTGTGTTGAAATGAAAACGAATAAGATTAAAACAAGATTAACGTCGTTAACTTGAGATTTTTAAAAGGGTTACACACGCCTCGATGAATTTGCGAAGGAAAAAAAATGAATTAGTCGAATGTGTCCACGGTGCTATGGATATTTGAGGGAATTGATTGAACCATCTTGACAATGGAAGAAGACTACATTGTATAACCGGGAACAATTGAGAGGGCCTCAATGGTAGTTTTCCTTTAGTTGGGGTTCTTTTGACGCCCGTGTGATTTGAGGGTCTTACGATGCTCTGTTCGTCCCCGAAGTGGTCCCTACCCCTAACCCCCCCATCAGTTCCCTATATTTCACTATTATGCTAAAGTGTTTTTCATAATATAAGTAACCCATCCTTTTTGTTTTGGACCATCTTTGACTTCATTGCGCAGGTCACGGATGCCCTTGCACGTGCTGGTCTAGAGTCTTCAAACTTAATTGTTGGCATCGATTTCACCAAGAGCAATGAGTGGACAGGTACAATTAATCGTTTGCACCCCTACCCCCCACCCCCACCACCCACCCCCCTAAATACAATAATAATAAGAAAATTAATAACAATAATAATAATAACAATAATAATAATAATCTCTAGTTTAGATTTTAAACTTGTGCAAAATATGAATTAGGTGCAAGGTCATTTCACCGAAAGAGTTTGCATCACATTGGGGATGAGCAAAATCCATATGAACAAGCAATATCTATCATCGGTAGAACGCTGTCAAAATTCGACGAGGATAACTTGATTCCATGTTTCGGATTCGGAGATGGTACAAAAAATTTTTAAAAAAATTTTTAAAAAAACTTTTACTTTATTCTATAGCTTTGTGCTTCATGAAATGGCATTACATTGAATGGCTCTTTAATTTTCAGCATCCACGCATGACCAAGAAGTTTTCAGTTTCTTCCCCGACGAGAGGTTTTGCAATGGATTTGAAGAGGTTTTGAGTAGATATAGGGAATTAGTCCCTCAGTTACGACTTGCAGGTGACCCTTCTAGCAATATCATTGCACTTCATTTATTTTATTCCATAGTCCGTCATAATTTTTTGAAAACAGTCTCTCTATTTCCCAGTAGGGGTAAAGGTACAGTACACACACCATCCCCAGACCCTACTTTTTGTGTGATTTTACTGGGTTTTTTTGGTGTTTTTGTAGTGCGTAACAATTTCCGTACAATTTTTTTTAAATAGGGCCGACATCTTTTGCACCGATTATTGAAATGGCGGTTACCATTGTTGAACAAAGTGGTGGACAGTACCATGTCTTAGTGATCATTGCCGATGGGCAGGTAAATTCGCGCAAAAAATTAAGTTTTGCGAAATGCTAAGATAAATTTTATATCATGTAAAATTTGATAGGTGACAAGAAGCGTTGAAACCGGACGCGGTCAATTAAGCCCTCAGGAAATGAGAACTGTTGATGCAATTGTCAAAGCAAGGTACCTACTCCATTGTTGTTGTTCCTGCATTACTATTAGTACTATTATTATTGTTATTATTATTATAATTAGCAGCATTTATTATTATTGTTATTATTATATTTATCAAGTGTTTAATAAGTAGTCTTGCTGTTTGTTTTCAGTGAGTATCCTTTATCAATTATTTTGGTTGGAGTTGGGGATGGGCCTTGGGACATGATGAGGGAATTTGACGATAATATCCCTGCACGAGCTTTTGATAATTTCCAGGCAAGAAAACCTCTTCTTGTTCTTGTACGCTAGGCGACCATTTTTTTGGGAGGAAATTAACGCCTTTTTTTTGTCCCCTCTAGTTTGTGAATTTCACAGAAATAATGTCAAAAAATTTGGATAGAACCAGAAAAGAAGCAGAGTTTGCTCTTTCGGCCTTGATGGAAATACCTTCTCAGTATAGAGCGACACTCGAACTCAACATATTGGGGTAAAAAAGTCCATTTTTTCCATACCAGTCACCCCCCCTATCTCTTTCAACTGACCATTATGACTTTCTTCATACATTTAAAAAGAATGAATCTAGTCGTGATGTATGTCCACATTCATTAGACTTTTGATGTATCACAAAAGTTGTAATGGTTAGCAAAAAATGAATGGATCGAGTATGTTGTACATCCACGTCGAACATTTGCTCATTGTTTTCCGTGCATTTGTGTTTTCCTAAATAGTGCAAGCCGAGGGAAGGGAATTGACAGAGTTGCCCTCCCACCTCCTCGCTACGGCTCAAATTCTTTTAACTCGCCAAAACCTTCACCACGGACTAGTAGTGGGGTTCGTCCTAGTGCACCTTCATACGCGGCGCACGGTTCATCCTTTTCCACAAGTCAAACCGCAAGTTCTTCTGATAGCCATGTAAGCACTCTTTCATTTTTTCTTTTTCCGTCCCAAAAAAATCTTTCCACTTTTTATTAAAAAGTCACTTTTACCCCTATCAATTCTTATACTTCCCATCACGTCATATCTATTCACAACAAATCTACATCGCATTCTACTTTTTTTAACAGCTTTGCCCCATTTGCATTACCAATAAGAAGGATATGGCTTTTGGTTGTGGACACCAGGTACAATATTTTCTTCATTCATGCACTGTATTTTCCTTAGGGTATGTTTGGAAGGGGAATGCTTTGGTGGGTTTTGTCTATGTCTTCAAACAAAGCCTTCCCCTCCATCCAAACGGACCCTTAACGAGAACCATCTTCGTTGTGCAGACATGTTGTGAATGCGGGATAAGCCTTCAATTATGCCCAATTTGTCGGGACACCATTGTCACGCGGATAAAGCTTTACTGATGAGTTAGTAGTTTTCTTCGGCGAGCTTTTTGCTTTGTTCCGGAAATGCCCTTCGAGAAAATGTCTGTAAGCTAGTTTCCACCTATGCCCTCTCGTCTCAAATAACTGTCCGGCAAGTTCGGCAAGTTCTGAGGGACTAAGGGATGAAATTCATCTTTTTTTTTAGATGTTTCTTTTTCTTTTTTTAGGAGTTTTTCTCTTCTGCAATAAAAGCCATCACATTGGCATTGTTCTGTTTTGGCTTTGGTAATTGGTAGTTTGGTACTTTAGTCTCTCTCTTTTTTTCTTCCTATTTTATTGGCGGAATGTACAGTGGAACATTTTTACTCCCTCCCTCCTAAAACTTTCTTCCCAGAGCACTATTCCAACTTCACGGGAATTTATATTTATTTGTGTTTTTTCATGGCCTATATGATAAAATAAAATATTCTTGTCACCACTTGTTTTGTTGAACTTTTGATGTAGTTTTTAAATATGTATTTTTTATTTTTTATTTCTATACCAATATTTAAATAAAATAGATTGAAAAAACTTGAGATTTTTCTTCGTTTTGCGCAACGGGAAGAAAGATATAGGACGGAGGGAGTATTTTAATTAATTTTTTTTACATTTTTTTTATTACTCGGTGGGGCCGCTTCCTCTCAAATCTCAATGATATGATTAGTACAATCAAATACGAAGTATTTGTGTTATGATGTTTGGTTGATTATATTTTTAATTCAATTTATTTTTTTGTAGGGGTAAAGTTTAAAAAAAGTTTATAAGAAAAAAAAACTACATGAAAAATTTTACAAATTTAGAAGTGACAAAACTATGATTTTATGAAATAAGCAAGCAGGAAAAATTAAGTTTGACCTTGTTAGTAGTGTCTGAAAAGATTTATATGGATGAAGGGAGTCCTTTTTTTAGGATGCCTAAAAATTATATTCCTCCGGACTTAAGTTAAATTGTCTCTTTACTATTCACATGGTCAAATTTTATTCACTTTTTTTTATATTTTTGTTATTCAATTGATAAAATAATATAATCTTGTTATCACTACTTTTATAGATCTTTTGACGTAGTTTTTAAATACGGAGTATATAATTTTATTTTTTAATTTGACATCATTTTTTATGTAAAATCATTTGAAAATAATTTCAGTCAAACATCGTAAACTGAAACAGGGGATTTAAGTTGGACGGATGGAGTACAATTTTTTATAGTAAAAATATGTGGTTCACAATTTCTTTCTTTCTCCTATATAAGTTCCATTCACTCGTTTTTAACTTGTGAAATTTGCGCTGATTAGGACTAAAATATAAATCATTTCCTAATGTAGAACTAAAACTTTTTTATTCCCTAAATAGGACTTAATAATGTCTAGTGAGAAGAATAATGACCAAGTGATTCTGGACATTTAGTTGAATAATGACTAATAGATAATGATCAATGGTCCTACATTGGCAAATAAAAACATATGATTTTATATTGAGAAAGTCATTCTGTTTTAGTCCTATTTAGGTAAATTATTCTTTTAACTTTTCAATATGCTTTCGAAAAAAATAAAATAAATTTTTCTGGTACAAATTAAATTGAGACGGAAGGAATAAATTTATAAGAGCATCCATATCCTTTATTTTAAAATTTCATCAATCCAATCATTTTCTCTCATCCATATTATCTCCACATCATTCATTTTTAAATACCTTTATTTTTAAACAAAACTCACAACCCATTTCACAACTCATTCATCCATTCGTTTAATCATTTGGGTCCCACTCTTATTTTACTTTATTCATCATTTTAAAATATGTCACGGTATTTTAAAAAATATTACTATAACTTTTTATTATGCTCTTTCCAAGTTTTGAATCTTTGGAATATGCAATCCCAAAAGATTGCATAAAAGATCTTAAACTCTTAAAGTATGGACCCTTGAGGGTGATGACCACATTGACCACATGCCCATTATTAAAGACGTATCATCAACGACACACATGTTGTCTTTATTACTCCCACAGAGGTGATGACCGCAACATCACAAGCCAATTCATAGCCCGGATAATTGTTGGGAAATTGCATGTCGATCCAGATTATAAAATGAAGTTAATTCGACATGAGGTGACTGAACTATAAATGAAGTTAATTCGTACAAAAAATGTTGGCTCACTAGGCTTATCGCCTCAGAGACATTATATAGAAGTTGGAAGGATTCATATAAGTACGTTCTAATTTTGCTACTGGCTTTTCTTTCTTCTTATCCGGGAACTGTGGTGGATTTAGTATGCACGTTGCCACCTATTATACCAACCTAGCTCAATGTCGAACTTGTAATTGGAGTAAATTTTAGGTATGCATTTTGGACTTTTCTGGCGGCTATCAGTGGATTGCAGCACTGTTTACATGTAGTGGCCGTCGATGGAGCACATTTGTACGGAAAGTATAAGGGCCATCTACTACTTGGAGTTGCATTGTATGGAAATTGTGAGATATTTCCGTTCGCAGATACCGTAGTTGATGGGAAAACTACTAATAGTTGGTCAAGGTTTCTATGACTGGAAGCTAAAAAAACTATAGCTGGAACAAGAGTTTGTGTTATTTCTGATAGGCATGCCAGTATCATGAACACTTATCATGATGTGAAAAAGCTTTAAATAAGAAATATAATAAAGCGTTTCTGACTACGTCATGTACGTAGTAACCTTAACTCAAAGTTTCACAATAAGAAACTCAAGGACTTCATGTGGTTGGTATGGAGTACTCCGAATGTCCAGGAGTTCCAAGAATATATGCAGGAAATTCGGGGTCAGAGTTAACCAGCAATATCAATATCTTGCTGAGATTTCGCAGGAGTTGTGGACACTAGCATACGACGGTGGTAGTCGATGTGGGATACTTACCACGAATAGTTTAGAGAGCTTCAACAATATGCTAAAAGATTCTCGAATGCTACCAATGAATGATATTATAATGATGTCGTAAAATAAACTTGCTGATTCGTTTGAGTCACAACGCATGTCTTGTTTTGATTGGCAACGAAAAAATCTACGATTTACTCTGAAGGTTTCGAAGATCTTTGAAGCAAGGGAAAAACATAAACAAATATTTCAAGTTGTGCATTAGAGTGGAAATCAATACATTGTCTCTAGGGCTTCCAGCTCCAACCCAAGGCATATGCATAGCTTTGTGATCGACTTGGAGAATAAGTTGTGTACTTATGGACAATGTCAAGGAGACGAGATTCCCTACGTGCATGTACACTCTTTGTTCCATTATTTCAGGGAACATATAGATGATTGTGTCTCTCACTTGAATACCTTGCAATGATATCAGATGTGCTAGGCCAGTCATATTAGACCTGTGGTGTAACGCCACAAAATATGGCCTAAAATTTATTATAAAATAAAAGTAGTTTTATCCAATAAGGAATATTTATACGTTTGACCAAAAATAAATGGATTTCCAAAATAATGACTTTTTGTTAAAAACTTATTCTTATGGATATGTCTCGAAGAGACGAATCCAACGGTACATTTTATGAACCAATCTGATTTATAGATTTCAAGTTATGTCAATTTTAAATATTAAAATTTGTAACTTTGACCCATAAAATAAACTCAATTCAAAAAGAGATTTCATAGGGTTAGAAATCTTAAATTTTGACACTTGACAATATCATATTAATCATTTGGATTTAATTCATATATTTTTATTTCATTCATATTATTATATTAAATTATGACTGAGACAGACCCGAACACTGTGAAAAATAAAAGTTCTTAGAAAAATATTTTGATT